CACCGGCGGCGAGCGCCGGGGCCCCACCGGCACCCACGGCGCCGGCGGCACCCACAGCGGCTGGAGGCGGCGGTGGCGGGGCCGGTGCGGGCGGCGGCGGGGCCGGTCCCGGCTCGGCCCGCGAGGGGTGGCTCTTCAAGTGGACCAACTACATCAAGGGGTACCAGCGCCGCTGGTTCGTGCTCAGCAACGGGCTGCTCAGCTACTACCGGTACGTACCGGGCACCGGGGACCCCCCCGTGACCTTGGGGACCGTCTGAGCCCCCACGGGGTGAGGGGAGAGGGGGAGGGCGGTGTCCCCCGCGCCCAGCGGGGAGGGGTCGGTGTCCCCCGGGGACGGCTGGGGAAGGGGGCAGGTGTCACCTGCCTGTCCCCGGGGTTGTCACCTCTCGGTTCCCCGGGGCTGAATTTGGGGAGGGGGGCGTCAGGGTGTTCCCCGGTGCCAGCAGGGCGGGTCACGCCTCCCTGGCCCCGGGGTTGTCACCTCCGTGTCACGGGGGCTGTAACCTCCCTGGCCCCGCAGGTATTTTGGGGGGGGGGGGGTCGGGAGGGTCTCCACCTTCGCCTCTTCCAGCCCATGGATCTCGCTGTCTCTCCCAGCGCCTCTTCCCGGTGGCCCCGTGGCTCGTCCCCAAGCCCCGGCAGCGGCACTGCCACTCCCTCGGGGACATCTGAGCCCGGCCCGGGGGGGGGGCCGTGTCCCTCCGTTACTAATGGGAGAAGCGGAGTCTTGGGCAGCTGCCGGCTCCGGTTACACGGCCGGGAATGGGGGGGGGACACACCGGGACGGGGGTGTCCCGCCTGGATGTCACCCCTGCCACCCGCTGACGTGGACAGGGAGTGCCAGGCTGGGACTTCACCCTCGTCCCGGCCGTGCCAGGATCCGGGAAACACCAGGATTCCCAAGGCTCCAGGATCCCTGAGGCCACTCCTGGGAACCAGAGACTGTGGATTTACCCCCCGTAAAGTGACCCACCCCAGCCTCGGCCCCACCAAAGCCTCCCTATTAATAGCCCCACGCGCCGGGTCGGGAATGCTGAGCCCCCTGCATGGCCCCCTGCGGGCTTGTCCCGGGGATCCCAGCCCCTTCCCTCCCTCACCCCGTGCTTCCCGCGCAGATCCAAGGCGGAGATGGGCCACACGTGCCGGGGCACCATCAACCTGGCCACGGCCAACATCACTGTGGAGGATTCCTGCAACTTCATCATCTCCAATGGCGGCGCCCAGACCTACCACCTGAAGGCCAGCTCTGAGGTGGAGCGGCAGCGCTGGGTCACCGCCTTGGAGCTCGCCAAGGCCAAGGCTGTCAAGATGCTGGAGGAGTCAGGTACGGCATTCCCGGGATCCCACGGGAGCCAGGGCAGGGGCATGGTGCCCTCAGGACTCAAGGAAGGATTGTGGTGCTCTCAGGATGAAATCCAGTGTCCAACAGGACCCAGAGCAGGATCCCAATGTCCACAGGACAGGGTGATGGTGCCCCTCAGGACAGGATTCCAGTGTCCCCGGGGCAAGATCCCAGTGTCCTGACAGTGAAATCCCAGTGCCCAACAGGACCCAGAATAGGATCCTGGTGCCCTAGGCAGGATCTCAGTGCTCTCAAGGTGAAATCCCAGTGCCCCATAGGAGCCAGTGTCCCCAGTGCAGGATCCCAGTTCCCCACAGAGCAAGACCCCAGTGCTGCACAGAACCCAGGCCAGGATCCCAGTTCTCCATGGAACCCTGGGCAGGATCCCAGTGCCCTGGGCAGAATCCCAGTGTCCCACAGGCCCCAGGGCAAATTCCCAGTGCCCTCAGGGTGAAATCCTAGTGCCCAACAGGACCCAGGACAGGATCTCGGTGCCTCAGCACAGGATCCCCTGTGCCCCACAGAACCCAGGGGAGGATCCCAGTGCAGAATCCCAGTGCAGGATCCCAGTTCCCCACAAGACTCAGGGCAAAATCCCAGTGCCCCCCAGCACCCAGGGCAGGATCCCAGTGCCCTGCAGGACCTGGATCAGGGTCCCAGTGCCTCATGGGACCCAGGACAGGATCCCAAGGCAATATCCCAGTTCCCCACAAGACCCAGGGCAGGATCCCAGCACCCTCAGGGCAGCATCCCAGCACCCTGGGCGGGGTCCCAGTGCCCCACAGGCCCCAGGTCAGGATCCCAGCACCCTCAGGGATTTGGGGATCCCCCATGCTCCCCTTGGTAGCCCCCCCATTGCCCCCCAGTGTAACAGGCGCTCAGAGCCGGGCATACGGGACAACCCCCCACATCCCAACCCACGCTTCCCATCCCTTCCCCGTTCCCTCAGACGACTCCGGCGATGAGTCGGTGTCGCAGACGGACAAGACGGAGCTGCAGAATACGCTGCGGATTCTGTCCAGCAAGGTGGAGGATCTGAGCACCTGCAACGACCTGATCGCCAAGCACGGCACGGCCCTGCAGCGCTCGCTCAGCGAGCTCGAGGCCCTGCGCCTGCCCCCCGAGAGCACCGACAAGATCAAGCAGGTCAACGAGCGGGCCACGCTCTTCCGCATCACCTCCAACGCCATGATCAACGTGAGGCCGCTTCCCCGGGGAAAACCGGCGGGAAAACCAGCAGGAAAACCGGTGGGAAGCACTCCCCTCCCACCACTTTTGTTTTGGTTCGGTTTTGTCCCTGCAGGCCTGCAGGGATTTCATGCTGCTGGCGCAGACGCACGGGAAGAAGTGGCAGAAGTCGCTGCAGCAGGAGAGGGATCAGCGGATCCGGCTGGAGGAGACGCTGGAGCAGCTGGCAAAGCAGCACAACCACCTGGAAAGGGCGTTCCGGGGGGCCACGGTGCTCCCTGCCGGCACGCCCGGCACTGGCGGCTCTGGGAAAGGTGGGATGGGACAAGGCTGCTTTCCCTGAACTTCCCTCACTCCGCTGATCCCAGGGGGTGGGCCTGTCCCGTGTCACCTGTGCTGCCAAGGCAAAGGCAGGATGGGATAAGCCAGGTGTTCCCCAGCTGCTTTCCTGAGCCAGGCTCAGCTTCCCTCAGTCCCCTGATCCCAAGGGCTGGGTCTGTCCCCTGTCACCTTGTGTAGCCAAGGGATTTTGGCGCTTAAAACCAGCTCCAAAGTGGCTCATCTGAGCCTTGCCTGTGTGACCCCTGCCTGCTGGTGACAGGGGCCTCCCAGTGTCCCACTGGTGGGAAACTGGGAGCGATGTCCCTTCCTTAACAGCACTGTCCCCTTCCCAGATCTGTGCTGCCCCTCCAAAGGTGACATGAGCGACGAGGATGACGACAACAACGAGTTCTTTGACGCCCCCGAGATCTTCCCCATGCCCGACATGATGGGCCACAAGTGAGTTCTGGGGGGCTCTGGGGGGGGCCCCACTGCCTGGACCTCCTGGGAAATGATCACCCTGTTTTCCACCCTTTCCAGGAGAACTGGGAGCAACATCAGCGGCACCAGCAGCGACATCAGCCTGGATGAGCAGGTGGGACGGGAGTTTATGGCTTTGGGGTGGGAACAGGGCTGGGCTGGGGGTCCCCGAACTCCCACGGGGGTGTTTTGGGAGGTCAGAGTGATGGAACAGCCCTCAGGGGGAACAGGGCTGCACTGGGAGTACCCTAATTCCCACAGAGGGGTTTTGGGGGGTCACAGTGATGGAACAGCCCTTGTCTCCCCCCTCCCCAGTACAAGCACCAGGTTGAGGACACCAAGAAGGAGAAGAGAACCCGCATTCCCTACAAACCCAACTACAGCCTCAATCTCTGGAGCATCATGAAGAACTGCATCGGGAAGGAGTTATCCAAAATTCCCATGCCGGTGAGTGCAGATACATCCGGCGGGTGGGCTCGGAGCTCCCCAAAAAGCCCCTTTTTTGACCCATTTCTCCCTTGCAGGTGAACTTCAATGAGCCACTGTCGATGCTCCAGCGGCTGACAGAGGACCTGGAGTACCACGAGCTCCTGGACCGGGCGGCCAAGTGCGAGAATTCCCTGGAGCAGCTGTGCTATGTGGCCGCCTTCACCGTCTCCTCTTACTCCACCACCGTCTTCCGCACCAGCAAACCCTTCAACCCGCTCCTGGGGGAGACCTTCGAGCTGGATCGGCTGGAGGAGAGTGGCTACCGCTCCCTCTGCGAGCAGGTGTGGCCAGCCCCACTCTCCCGACCTCTCTTATTCCCTTGGGATGGCCGGCATTGAGCTCTTCCCAATCCCTGTCCAGGTGAGCCACCACCCCCCGGCCGCTGCCCACCACGCCGACTCCAAGCACGGCTGGACGCTCCGCCAGGAAATCAAGATCACCAGCAAATTCCGAGGGAAATATCTCTCCATCATGCCTCTAGGTGAGCATCCTGGGATTTTGGGAGCCACCCAAGGCTCCGGGTGTGGTTCCCAACACAGCTTGCCCCACCCTCAGGTACCATCCATTGCGTCTTCCACTCATCCGGCAACCACTACACGTGGAAGAAGGTGACTACCACCGTGCACAACATCATCGTGGGGAAGCTGTGGATAGACCAGGTGGGAAATCACGGATATGGGAGCGCCCTGGTCCTGTATGGATCCCTTGGGAATGGGTTGTGGGTGGGTCTGACTGTCACCTTGCCTCTGCAGTCGGGTGAGATCGAGATCGTCAACCACAAGACGGGTGACAAGTGCAACCTCAAGTTTGTCCCTTACAGCTACTTTTCCCGGGACGTGGCGAGGAAGGTAGGGAAAACAGGGAAGCGCGGGACATCCCGGGGTGCCTGTGTCCTGATCCGTGCCATTCCCTCTCCCTCCAGGTGACCGGGGAGGTGACGGATCCCTCGGGGAAGGTGCACTTTGTCCTGCTGGGCACGTGGGATGAGAAGATGGATTGCTACAAAGTCCAGCTGGGAACGGGGGACAACGGAGCCGAGGCCCGGCCGCGAGCCCACGAGTCCGAGGACAGTCGGGTGCTGCTGTGGAAGCGGAACCCGCTCCCGTGAGTCGGGAATACGGGATGAGGCACCTCCCAGGAGCGGAGACGCGGGGCTGGCGCTGAATTCCCCCTCCTTCCCATGCTGCAGGAAGTACGCAGAGAACATGTACTACTTCTCAGAGCTGGCGCTGACCCTGAACGCCCCGGAGAGCGGGACGGCTCCCACGGACAGCCGGCGGCGTCCCGACCAGCGGCTCATGGAGAACGGGCGCTGGGACGAGGCCAACGCCGAGAAGCAGCGGCTGGAGGAGAAGCAGCGGCTCTCCCGCAAGCGCCGCGAGGCCGAGGCCGCCCGTGCCTCTGAGGATGGTAAGGAAGGGATGTCCCCCCCTCTCCGGAGCCCCCCCGGGTGGCCCCCAGGCCCTCACCCCTTCTGTGCCCTCCAGGGACCCCCTGTGATCCCTACAAACCGCTGTGGTTCGAGCGGAAGAAGGACCCGGTGACGCAGGAGCTGGCGCACGTCTACAAGGGGGGGTACTGGGAGAGCAAGGAAAAGCAGGACTGGAGCCTGTGCCCGGATATTTTCTGAGCCCAGCGAGGAGGAGGAGCGGCGGGATGGGGGGGATGAAGGCCAGGACCCCCCCCCTTCCGTGTCTGTCTTAAGCGCCCGCTGTCCCCGCGCCGGCCGGGCTTTGCCTTAGCCCACCCAAACTGACCTTGGGGAGCGGGAGCCAACACAGCCCCCCCAGAGCCGGGCTGGAATGGGGGGGTCCCTCATCCCACCCGCCTCCCTGGCACCCTGGGGTGGGGGACACAGCCACCCCCAGGGTGGGGGGTCCCCGGGGTGAGCCCGAGGCTGGCCTTGGTCTCCCCCCACTCCCCACTTTTCTTCCCGTCCGCCCCCAGGAGTTCGGGTGCTTTTGGGGTACGGGAGGGGCCAGACTCCCCCCCCAGCCTGTTCTATAGGTGTATATTATATATATGTAGAGAGCAATCGGGGTCCCCTTCTCCCCCTGCCCAGGGGGAGCCTTCCCCAGCCCCCGCTTCGGGGGGTCCCCCCCCTCCCAGGGGTGTCCCCCACCCACGGGGACCCCCCTATGAGGTGCCTTCCCTGTAGGTTTAGGGTGGGGGGAGAGAGCTGTCCTGGGTTTTGGGGGGGTTTGCACCCTCAAACACTACAGGGGGGGGGGGAGGCAGTGTGGGGGTCTCTGTACCCCCAAACCTGAAATCGGGGGCTTTTGATGCCTTTTTATTTTATTTTTTTCTTTTTTTGGGTTTCTTTTTTGTTTTTTTTTTTTTGTCCCAAGAAAAAGAACTAAATTAAAAATCTGTGAATGCCCCAACCCAGCTGTGCTTGCTCTGGGAGTGGGGGGGTCCACTTCCCCCCTGCAGCTGGTTTTGGGGGTATCCCTTCCTCCTCTGGGGCCCTGATCCTTGCAGTGAATCCTTGGACCCCAAAAATAGGGGGGTGGCAGCAACCAAACAGGGACTTGAACTCCATTCCTGGGGGTCTCCAGGTGCTCTCTCTTCACCCAGGTCCCGCTGCCCCACGGTGGCTGGGGGGAAGTGGGGGGTGTCCCCTGTGTCCCCCCACATTCCCTGCTGGATTTGGGGTGCTGGGGACCCCCCTGGGCATCTCCTGCCCCACGCAGAAGGCCCTGGGTTCCACCCCCAATGACTTTCTGGGGGGACCCTCGATCTCTTCCCAGGGACCCCTTTGGGCCAGGGGGGTCACCTGTCGGGGGGGGGGGGGGAACCCCCCGGGGGGCCCTCCCAGGGATGGGGGGGGGAGTCCGGGGGGGGTGACACAGGCCCCCCCCGCGTGTGCTGATTGGCCAGCTGGCTTTGGAGGCGTGTTCTGATTGGCCAGCACGGTACTGTCTGCCGATTGGTTGAGCCCCTGCCCTGTCTACGCTGATTGGTTGGAGTGACCTTCTCCCGAGGGCCAATGTTTTCCCGCCCTCCCCTGATTGGTGAGTGCTGATTGGCCAGTTGGTTCGGGAGATGCTGATTGGCTGGTTGTGGCTGGGTCAGATCCAGCCAATGGGAGAGCACAGGTTGGCCCTGATGCCCCGCCCCTGCCACACCCCCGGGCAGCCACTGGGACCATGTGGGACCTTCATGGGACCCCCTGTCCCTGAGGGACCCCCCATGGGACCCCTCGGTGTCCCCTGTGGGACACCCTGTCCCCTAGGCACTGCCCCCTGCCCCCGGGGGTGGCTCGGGGTGGCCAAGGGGACAGTGACCCCATATCCCACCCCTCATCCCGCCCCACATCCCACCCCATGACCACCAGACACATTCCTCCAGCTCTGATCTGGGGGTTTATTGGGCCCCCCCTAGCCCTGCCACCGCCCCTGGGGGGCTCTTGTGGCCGGGGGTCTCACATCCACCCCGTTCCCGGCTGCTCCAATCCAGCTGTTGGCTCTGAGCCCTAACGGTGGCAGAGAGGTCGGGCAGGGAGCGGCTGCTGAGGCTCTGGGGGGGTCTCCTCCTGCCCTGAGGCCCCGTTACCGGGACGACAACATCATGACGAACTCTGCGGGGCAAGGAGGGGGGCGTGAGGGGAGGGGACCCCACCTCAGCCCCGTGGGAGGGGCGGGGGGGTTCCCTCACCATCAAAGTCCACGTGCCCGTCCCCGTTGAGGTCCACGTCCTGCAGGATCTCGTCCACCTCCTGCGCCTTGAGCTGCTCCCCGAGCAGGGCCGCGATGGCCTCGCGCATCTCAGCCGTGCTGATCTCCCCGTCCCCGTTCATGTCGAACTGCAGGCTCGGGGTCACCTCCGGCCACGGCCACCCCCGGCCTCCCGGGGCCACCATCCCCTCTGTGCTTGGGCTCACCCCCGTGGCCGTCGTTCCCTCCCATGCCTTTGGTCACCCCATGGCCATTGTCCCCACCGTGGTCTTCCCGTGTTCACTGTCCCTCCCATGCTTGTGGTCACCCCTATGGTCACTGTTCCCTCCCTGCCTGTGGTCGCTGTCGCCTCATGGTCACTTGTCCCCTCCGTGTCTTTGGTCACCCCTCATGGTCACCATTCCTCTGTGGTTGTGGTCTCCACGTGGTCTTCCTGTGGTCCCTGTCCCTTCCATGCCTGTGGTCATCCCCATGGTCACTGTCCCCTCGCTGTCACCATCACCTCATGATCTCCCCGTGGTCACTGTCCCCTCCATGCCTGTGACCCCTTGGTCACTATCCCCCCATGGTCATGCTCTCCCCATGATCTCTGTCCCCTCCCTGCCTGTGGTCACTCCCATGGTCACCATCCCTGCATGGCCACCATCCCCCCGTGATCTTCTCATGGTAAGTGTCCCCTCCGTGTCACTGGTCACCCCCATTGTCACCATCCCCCCGTGGTCACCATCACCCCACGATCTTCCCGTGTCACTGTCCCCTCCATCCTGTGGTCTTTCCCGTGGTCACTGTCTGCCCGTGGTCACTGTCTGCCCGTGGTCAGGGTCTCCCCATGGTCACTGTCCCCTCTTTACCCTCATGGTCACCATCTCCCCATGGTCACTGTCCCCTCCATGCCTGTGGTCACCCCGCAGTCACTGCCCCCACCATGGTCTCCCCAGGGTCACTGTCCCCTCCCATGCCTGTGGTCCTTCCCATGTTCACTGTCACCCTGTGGTCAAGGTCTCCCCACGGTCCTCCCATGATCCCTGCCCCCTCCATGTCCCCATCATCATCGTCTCCCCAGCATGGTCTTTCTGGGATCACTGTTCCCACCATGCCTGTGGTCCCCCTGTGACCAGGGTCCCTGTGGCAATGGCCACGGTCCCCTCACGCCCATGGTCCCCCCGTACCTCGCGGAAGGCGATCTTGAGCTCCCTCACGCCCACCATGTGCGCCGTCTCCTCCCGCAGCTTCGGCCCCATCATCTGCACAAAGTCCTCGAAGTCCACGCGCCCGCCCACTGCGGTGGCAAGGGGACACCCTCAGCTCCCCCTGTCCCCCCCCCCCCCGCCCCCCCCCCGCCCCCCCAGGCCCCCGCTCACTCCTCATCTTGATGTGCTGGGAGATCTCGATGAGCTCCATCTCGGTGGGCATGTACCCCAGCGTGCGCATGCACTCGCCCAGGTCCTTGTAGCTGATGTACCCGTCCTGGTCCGTGTCGAACTCCTTGAAGGCGTCCAGCAGCTCTGGACACACGGACACACGGACACCGTCAGGTGCAGGCGGTCACCCAGGCACCGCAGTGCCCTGGAGCAGGTCAGTTCTCAGCTGTGGTGCCATGGCACGTGGTCCTGTGCCAGTGTCCCCCCGTGGCAGAGCCCTCCGTGGCCACGTCCCCCTTGAGAGATCCCTCCACAGCCGTGTCCCCGTGGCTGTGTCCCATGGCAAAGGCCCCCATGGCCATGTCCTCATGGCACTGTCCCCGTGGCAGTGTCCCCATGGCAGAGTCCCCCATGGCACAGCCCTCTGTGGCTCATGTCCCCGTGGCCTGTGTCCCCATGGAAGAGCCCTCCATGTTCTGTGTCCCCATGTCCCCATGGCAGGTCCCTCTCCGGTCGTGTCCCCGTGGCAGACCCTTCCCTGAGGCCATGCCCCTCCCATCTCCCTGAGCCTCCGTCCCCGCCCTGTCCCCCCTGCTCACCATCCAGCTCCTCCGGCGACAGCTCCCGCTCCTGGATGGGACACAGGGGGGGTGACAGCACAATGAGACCCGGCTCTGTGACCCCCCCGCCCCCAAACCGCCGTGTCACCTTTGTTAAGCACGGGCCAAAATTAACTCTGGCGGAGGATTAGCGGGATTGGAGGCAAAGCCCCGCCCTGCCCCGTGCCTGCTCCCCCTGCCCGCCCTCTCCTGGTCCCGTGTCCCCTCTCCTGTCACCCACCCCAGGCTGGCTCACCCCGGGACCCCCAGGATCCGGATGGGATGTGGGTGCTGCTGAGGGGGCTTTGCACTCTGGAGGTGGGAGGGCAGGATGTGTCCCCCTAGAGCTTGGCTGGCCCTGCCCAGGGTGTCCCCCTGAGGTGTCCTCTCTGTCCCCCTGGCCCTGGGGGGTCCCCAAAGCCATTCCTAGTGCCCCCATGCCCCCTCTCTCCCCAGGAATCCAGAGTGTCCCTGAGCTTGTCCCCCGTGCTCCATGTCCCCTCTATCCTCAGGGTTTTGGAGGGTCCCTGTCCCCATTCCCACTGTCCCCATGTCTCCATCCACAGGGTCCTGGAGTGTCCTCCAATCCCATCCCCACAGTCCCCATGTCCTTTCCATCCCCAGGGTCCTGGAACATCTCCACTATCCCCATTCCACAGTTCCCAACCCCATCCCCAATGCCCCCCCTGCCCCCTCTGTCTACAGGGTCCTGGACTGCCCCTGTCCCCATCCCCACTGTCCCCATGTTCCCATCCCCACTGCCCCCACTATCCCCATGTCCCCTCCATCACCAGTGCCCCAGAGTGTCCCTTACTATGTCCCTGATGTCCCTGTCCCCCCCTCCTTCCCGTGTCCTGAACTGTTCTTGTCCCCATCCCCACTGTCCCCAAAGTCTCTGTCCCCCCTCCATCTGCAGGGTCCCAGAGTGTCCCTGACCATGTCCCCAGTGTCGCATGTCCCCTCCACCCACAGGGTCCTGGACTGTCCCTGTCCCCATCCCTACTGTTCCCATGTCCCCGTCCCCACTGTCCCCATGTCCCTTCCATCCACAGGCTCCTGGACTGTCCCTGTCCCATCCCCCCCGTCCCCACATCCCCTCCTTCCCCAGGGTCCCTCCATCCCCACCCTCACTCCCGTGTCCCCGTGTCCCCTCTGTCCCGTGGCCCCCCCCGCTGTCCCCACCTTGCCGAAGACGGTGTTGAGGAAGGGGGAGTAGGTCTTGGTGGCCGCGGCGTGGGGATCCCCGGAGCCCTTCTTCCCGCTCTTCTGCCCGTGGCCGCCGTGCCGGGACTCGGAGCCGGAATTCTTGTGGGCGTGGGGCTCCTCGGGGGCTTTGGGGGGTTTCTCCCCCGCCTCGCCCCCCCCTTTTCCCTTCTGTGGGGGCTCCGTGTCCTTGGGGGTCCCCTTGTCCCCGCGGGTGCGTGGCATGTGGCCGGGGCCGGGTGGGCAGCAGGGAGCAGGACCCCGGGATGGCCGAGCCGGAGGAAGGAGCCGGGAAATCCTCTTACACGCCCCCCCCCCCGTGACCCCCACCTCTTTCCCCCCCTCCCCCGTGGGCTCCCGGGCCCGGCAGGGCAAAGCCAATTAGCGGTGATTAACGGCAGGAAACAGCCACGGCCACCACCGGCCCGGGGCAGGGCCACATGGCCACCGCGCCGCGGCCACCAGAGGG